TAACTGGAATTTAAGACAAATTTTTTTCGTTTATCACGTTTAACCGGGTAATTTCAGTACATTAATACTAATTTATATTTTTTATTTCCATTATAAATGCTTATATATTGTCTTATGCTTAATATATTCTTTTCTGTGCTAACTTGAATTTAATACAAATTTATTTCCGTATATCACGTTTAACCGGTTAGTTTTACATCTACATGCATATTATCTGTGAATTTTTACTACCATATGCTTAATATATTGTTTTGTCTGCTAACTTGAATTTACATGCACTAAAAATCACGTTTACAAAATAATAAATATCACGCTTACGCGGCTCATCGACGATGAACCGCGAGCTTGGCGAGTAAAAATGCAACGGGTTCTTTCCCGAAGCGCCAACGGGTTCTCTGCGGATGAAAACCCGAATTTGAAAAAAAAATCATCCACTTTCTTTGACGTTGTTGAAGCCGAAGCATTAACTTGCTAAAATTAATGCTTTTTAGACTTAACAATGCTTCACAATGTCGCTTCTTCCACCGTGACTTATTATGAAGTCACAGACGCACACATTGCAAAATGCATAGTTATTTCCTTTGAAGGATTCTTTAATTGTTGGAAATTCGGCTTTTAGGCAGGCCGAAAATATTGAGAAATGGTTTTTTTGAACTCATTTCGTAACAACGACGTATTAAGGAAATTCGTAGCACGTGTAAAAAAAAAAAAAAAACAGAATGCGACAATCCACGCTAAAAAAATAATCTGGCGCCCACAAAGAAAGAAGTGTGAAGTGTGCTGAACTTGTGGGAGAAACAAGTTCAGCGCATTGGATTGGCTGGTTAAGCGGCGAGTTGGGAGAAACCGCAGGTTACTGGATTCGAAGTAATCGGTAGTTGGCGGTAAAACACAATGCAATTGGCGAAAATCGCTGAATTGGCGAAAAATTCTAAAATTTCGACAAAAATCACTAAAAACACTTGAAAAAGGAAAAAAATCGTAAAAAATGAATTACGATCGTAAAATCGTAAAGACAAACACATTTTCGTAAAAATTACGAAAAATTCGTAAAAGTTGGCAGGTATGCTTTCTTACTGTTTTCTCTTTGTTGCTTGTTTTTGAAGAACTCGTAATATATTATGCATTTAAATATTTTTTAAAAAAATAATGATACAAACCAAGGTTTTTAAAATGTGATGACTGACAGGTGATGGATCCAAGGACAATGTAGTAATATTAGGGTTTACTTGGAATGGAGATGAAATGGATCCGCAACCTCAATGTGTTGCTTAGAGTGAACTATTATCCAATCAATGCAAGAAGCCATCGTTTCTTAAAAGACATCTTGAATCTAAACACGCCGCTTTAAAGGATAAATCTGAAGAATATTTTAAAAGGAAATCATCGGAGTTCAGACATAGTAAACAAGTAAAGAATGTTTTTGTTAGTTCAAATGAAAAAGCTCTGGAAGGTAGTTACTTAGCAAGCCTAAGAATTGCCAAGACTGGTCAGGCTCACACAACTGGAGAAAACCTTATTTTACCAGCAGCTAAAGATATCGTTTTAACATTATTTAACAAAAAATCGGCTAATGAACTTAATGATATTCCATTATCAAATGGTACAGTAAGTTGGTGAATTCATGAAATGGCAAATTCCATAAAAGAGACACTTATTTTTTTACCAAAGGTGGGCACCTGCCTATAACAGCACTGGTCCCTCCCAAGGACAGAAGTAATGGCCATTTCTATTGTGGACGCACCTAACAGGCGGCCACCGTTACCTCCTATGAAGGGACAGACAATTTTATATCCATGTGTTATCTGGGATTCGAACCCAGGCCCTTCATTATCACACTCAGGCTCCCCTAACCACTATACCATCTGGGCAGCAAAGAGACACTTATTCAAAAAATTAACAAATGGAGTATTTTGCACTGCAATTGGTTGAAAGTGCTGATATAACTAAATTTGTCCAATTATTACTTTAGATACATTTTGAAGAAAGTAAATGAACTGCCAAAGAGTATTTATTTTGTGTATTTCTTCACAAAAGAGGAACTGCAAATAAAATTTTCAAAGCAATTGACAATTGTATGTCTGAAAAGGATTCCTTGGAATAAGTGCATTGCCATATGCTGTGACGGAGCCCGGGGTATAACAGAAAAATTTTCCAGTGTTATTTATCAAATAAAGAAATTTGCACCTGGAACTAATTTTACTCACTGCTCCATTCATTGTGAAGCTTTAATAGCCAAAACAATCCCCCAAAACTTGAAAACCATTTTGAATCACGCTGTAAAAACTGTTAATTTTATTAAAAGCCGAGCTTAATTCAAGGATATTTACAATTTAAAATTTTTTATTTAATGATGTCTTGGTTGGCACGCTTAGCATATTTAGCTGATATTTCTGGAAAGTTAAATTAATTAAATTTAGGATTACGAGGACAAAGTGTTAATTTGTTTACTGTTAGAGGTAAAATAAATGCAATGATAAAAAAACTCAAGCTAATAATAAAAAAATTGGATAATAATATTTTAAGCTTTTTATACCTTTCAGAGAGTTTTCTAACTGTAAATAATTTGAAAATAAAAGAAGAAATAGCGTTCAACATTAAAAATCATTGTTTTTCGTTGATAAATAATTTCAACAAGCATTTTTCAAGGACAAAGCAAAAAAAAAATGAAAAAGAAAAGTGGATTAGAAATGCATTTTGTTCAAATGTACCTGAAATTTTATCCCACAAAGAAAAAGAAAGATTCATAGAAATTGTTCTGCTCGAACTCTAACTGGCAATTTAAAAAATAACACACTTGTTAACTTTCGGCGAACAGAGAAAGAGAATTTAAAGGCATTTCCAAATAAAGCTCATGAATTTTTATTGCCTTTTTGCATAACCTATTTGTGTGAACATGGATTTTCTTCTACGTTATTTTGGAAAATAAACACAGAATGAAATTAAAAGTGGATCCTAATTTATGGTTAAAACTAAGCGAAATAAGTCCAGACATAAACTGATCTGTCTTAAACAGGCCCAAATTTCACATTAAAATTTAAAATTAAAATACTATAACTTGAATTTTGATAATTTAAATGGTAACCAATTAATCTAATATTTTTATGTATACATATTTAGTACAAATAGCAAATAATTTGTATAATTTTTTAATATTTGTATTGAGAAATTTAAAAATCATTGTAAAATGTAGTGGTGGTATTACAGTTTTTCAGTTTTTGTTTAGGTGGTAAGTGCTAGTCAAAAGGTTAAGAACCGCTACACTAAGGTTAATGGCTACCTCAAAAACAAATTGGCGAGAGAGCACCAAGCTGACAATGGTTTGAAGACTTTTTTTTCCCCTCCTAAAATTGGCAAGAAATCACCAGAAGTCAGCAAACTTGGGGACTGTTTGGTGACATTTCAGTCTTATCCCTGTATAACTGCAATTTTTCGATCTCTATGTAACTGTATATGCCTTCCAAGAATTTGAGAAATTGAAGGTACTGGAAATTTCTTGGTGAATGTGAGAAAACTATATAAGACCAGAGCATAAGTTTTCCACCGAGTTCAGAGTTTAGCTCAGAATATTGAAAGATCACTGCACAAATGTAGGCATTATAAGCTTTTTGTGTTGTCTTGTGTTTAAAGTCTTTAGTAGTTTTGAAGTGGTAGCTACTGATTGTGCTTTGTCATAAGAGCTGTAGGAGTACTTTTGTGAATAGTTGCAGAATTGTAAAATGTTTCTTTTGGGAAAATAAATTTCATCAAGCTATAATCAGTTCTGTGAATATTTAATCCATTATGAACCCATATGCACGTAACAATATATTTATTAAGAAATTTCATCAAATCCTTTTGAGATATTTCTGATGTAAACAGAGATCTGTTTTTTTTTTTTTTTTTTTAAATTGCAGAATTGCACTAATGCAACATTCCGCATGAACTATCTACCAAATGCATCTCATTATTGCACCCAGAACATTTTATCTTATTCACAATTGAAACCATTCTCACACACCACTACAAAACAGACATTTTCTCTTTTTGTTCCAAATATGCAGATTTAAAAATAACAAATAGCTTTCAAAAACAGACAACACATGATCGAGAAAGAAATATGCCACAAACCTTTTGATCTCTGTCATAAGAAAGTGTGGCTGTTGATCACTAAAACTGAAGAACTGCCATGCGCATGATTACTAGATTCTGGCACATTTTGAAACTTTGGCAATTCCAGCTAAGGTGGTAGCAATAATATGCAAGAACCAAAATTACCATAATCCACAAAACATTTTTATTAAATAAGCAAAATTTTAATCTATAGAACTTCATAAATATTTTTCTACACGCAAATGAGCACTAAATACACAATTCCATTTTTTGAACTGAAAATAACTGCTCAAATCTAGTCACCAAGCATTGCCAGGTTAATATCAAGTATTCTTTAAAATAAATTAAATACAGCTATTAAACTATATAAGAATTAGGATGTTAATAATTTAATATTTTTTAGAAAAATATCAATATAACTTGATTACAGTTTAGAAAACTATAAAGACTTATTATAAACTTGTTATAAAAACACAGATTATAATGTTGCATTATGGAAGTATACATGTATACACTGATATACATATTTATAAATATTAGTATTGACAAAAACTATTAGTGAACACAGAAATTTGCAGTCTATAGAATAGAATGACACACATTTAAAATTACACAGACGATGTAATTACAGATTAAATGTTTCTTAATGAAAACATGTCAATCAAATTGCAATGTTTTCAATTAAGAAACATTGTCTACTTCTATTTGTAAAGTAAATACAAAAGACAAAGAAATGTTTACTGATAATTTGTTACATTTTTATTTAGGTACTTCTTTCTTCACTTCCTTTAATCTATCAATTTAATAGTTATTGTAGCACAAAATAATTACTAAACAGTACATACTTATTAGCATGAAAATAAATTCACTTTAAAATGCAGAAGTTGTACAGAATTTTTTATACTAACCTTTGCTGTGTGATCCTGAGATCCTGTTGCAACTAGTTTGTCATTTTCAGAAATATCTATAGAATTAATATGCTTATCATGAGCTTTGGCTGTACAAAATGGTGTCAGTAATAATTTTGCAGTTACAACAGGCTGGCTTTCAGGAACCTCCCAGAGCTTGAGGGTTGTATCTTGAGATCCAGAGGCAAAGAATCTTGACTTTCCTCTGTTAATGTGTATAAAAACAAATAATGACATTAATTAAAAATTATCATGCAAATAAGAAAATAAACAAATGCAGAAAGGTCTAATATAAAAGAAGAAACGATGTAAAAAAGGTACAAAAAGATTTGTTTACTTAAAAACAATTTTGATGCATTCTAGTAACCATATATTTTAGTAAATTAAGTTCATGGAAGTTATAAAGCAAATTTTGTGCAATATTCCATGGTATGAAAATCCAAAAAACAAATTTAAAGCATCTTCAAAAAATTCCAAAAAAAAAACTGCAACTGAATTATCTCATCGTATGAAAAAAAAAGGCTAGTGGGTATAACCGATTATAAAGAACACTTTATTCAGAATTGATAATGACAGATTATGGTGAAAAGGGAGTACTATGTTGAACAAGTTTCTGTGTTTTGAAATTATATAACTGTTCTCTGATGGCTGATACTATGAGTTTACTTTGCGTACTTTGTGACTTTTTTTAAGCAAAAACATAACACTGTCCAGTATTTTTTCACAGAAAAATAAGAAATATGGATCTTGAATAATAGTTTTCATCTCAACCAGTGATATTTCAAGTTTCTCAGCCATAACATCCTCAACAAGTATTTAAAAGTTTAAGATGTATCACATTAATATATCCTTTGGGCTACTTCACAAATTCCACAAAACTACTTGATAAAAGCAGTAGAAAGATTTCAGACCTTTTTTCCATGAAACAATAATTCCCCTACCTGAGTTCAAAAGTCCATGCTGTAAGAAAAAGGCTTTCTGAACAGTTATACACTACTATACTTGCATTTATATAAATAGAGGTAATATTATGAACTCTACAGCTAACAGAAGCTAATTCTATTTCTCTTTTAAGAGATGAAATCATTGTAAAAGGAAGAGAACTGAATCTAAAAATCAATGCTGAAAACACTGTAATTTTTTAATTCCTTTGATTGAAAACTTATGCTTTCAAGAACTGTAAAATCAAACACATTTGAAGAAACTGAGGAATTTGATTATAAAAACACTACAACAAAAAAAAAAAAAAAAAAAAAAAAAAAAAACTAATGTTTTCAAAAAGTTTCAAATTAAACAAAGAATTAAATCTCATCAAAGCTTGGATGAATATCCTTGAAAACACTGATTGATTTGGGGAAAAAAAAGCAAAAAATGAATCAACTAATTTTTGCTAGCAAGAGGAACACTTAAGATGAGGAAAACAGTCTTTGTCAGTCCAAACTTCAGTGGATGATTTCATCCATTTTTCAGAGGCTTTCTTACTACAATAAGGTCATCTAATTTCAGAAGTATAAGGTAAATTATATATATTTATAAGTATTAATAATCTCTGCACAATACCTTGTATAATTCAGGTAACTGGTTCCAACCAGTATCTGAGACTGTTTGAAACTGAATTAAAAGAGAAATTATATACATAAAATAAATAGTTTTAAAAAAAGTTTTTTCTTCTCTGTTTTGCAATAAATAAAATTTGGTTAACAATTTCAAATGTAAAAATGGATAATATCTACTCTATGTCTACCATTCCAGCATTTCAGGTTAGTTAATACTTTTGATAAATCAGAAACCGTAGCCATACCTAGCAATTTGTAACAATTTCTCTTTTCAAACTAATGACACATCTATTTCTTTTTTATGGCCTATTTTAGCAAATGACATGCCTTTTTTCATGAAGCTTGATCATATATTGAGCTTTTATATTAAAGTAAGCCACTTACATTTCTCAGTGACAATCATTTTTGTACTCTGTTATGATTATTTTAGATGGATATCAAAATTGTATTATCACAAATGGACTTTACCATTGGTATGTGTAGCAAAAATTGATAGGCAGAAATTAATTTAAAAATAAAGTTCACAAATACCATTATTTACTCACACTATACAGTTTACACATTAACACGTTGAGTGGGGTGCTGGCCCCTGGGGACCGGCAGTGAACTTTACGTGCGGCCGGCATCGGTACCTGGGGACCGGCACTGGAACTTTTGTTTGGCTGGCATCAGTCCATAGGACCGACAGTATTAAAGTTAAAAATTAAATATAGTCTCAATGAAATGTGATCAAATTTAGTTTTAATGAAATGTATTGAAACATTCTAAACAAAAATATGGCTTAGCTCGCTGCTGGCTGAATGGAAAGCACAGCAAATTTGGCGCCGCGCTCAACGTGTTAAGGGGAGCAACTGGTGATCACACTGAGCTGCAATCAGAGGTATCTTTGACATGCTTCATGCTTTAGAACTTGAGCTCTGACATATGTGTTGCTACCAAATCAAGATAAAATTCAATGAAGAGCACGTCTTTTCAGTGCTTTCCTCACATCCTCCAACGACAGCTGTGAAGAGCCCCAATCACAAATACCAGGTATCCAAAAAGGGTCATGCCATAATTTTCAGAGAAACATTACAAGCTAATAATAATGTGTAAATGCATTTTATTCATTAAAATAATCTCTTTCACCTTCAGTTACACATTTCCAAAAACAAGTTACAGCTACAAGCTTTTAAATTTCGCATTTGTGGAAGTTCTTGTGCCTAGAACCAAAAAATTGTCCTATGGCATGTGCTACATCACCTCAGTTTCAGAACTGTTGCTCATGCAAATGGTAGTCCATGTTTAAAAATAAAGGATAGTCGGAGTGATGTCTGGGGAGTAAGAAGGATAGGATAAAACTTCCCAATTAAATTTGTTGATCACCTACTTGGTCGTTTTTGTTGTATAAAGTCTGGCATTGTCTGCTTCCAATACAGTGCAGCTGCAACCTTTTGCAGTTCGCATGAGTGTGGGAACTGTAACTAAGATTATGTAAGAGCGCCATCTAGATTAGGATGTGGTCAGATGAGACATGAACGATAGTGCGGACAGATGTGTCCAAAATGTTTTGACGATTATTCTTTTTACTTTTCTTTTCATTCTAATGTAAATAAATAAATCTTAGTTTAACTTCATGAGTTGTAGTTATGCTTATCATCAATCCTTCCCCATATGAGTACACCTCAGGTTTTAATGTTTTTGCATCTCTCTCGCGATCAATCCATTGCTCATGAAATTTCCAAGGTGATACACTCGTCGAGATGATCCCATAACTTGGCCATCAAGATAACTGGATCTCTCAAGTGCAATACAGGACTGGTTGATCAAACACAGAACAGTACCTTCTGTTGATGAATGTTCTGTTTGGTGGCAAATGCCACAGAATCAGATTACCAATGATGATTTTTTACACGGTTGCTATATAACAATGTTTCTCATCATATGGCAATATCTCATTCAAACATCGGACTTTCTTGTGAAATCTAAATTTCTTGCTAAATTGTTTCCTTCACCAGAGCTGTCGATTGTAGATGAGCATTCAGTTCAATGCCTGTCCTGGAGGTTCTCATCTCCCAATATAAATAAACCTAACTTTCATGCTGAGTGCTCACCCACTGATGCCTCTTCAAATGTGGGGTATATTTTTCAAGCAGCTCCTACAGAATTGCTGCCCAACTTGAACTCATAAAGTAAACACAGTTGTAAAACATCCTTTGACACTCATATATTCACTTCGTGATAGGAGTTCCATAGAATAGTTCTTGACATGACAAGCACACTTCACAACTCTCCACCAACTAACAGTTAACAGGAATGTCGATATTTCATGTCAAATCGACAAGGTTGCCATCACCTGCTGCTTGAATTTCATTTTCCATTCCAATGGCACAAACTTTTTTGAATACTTGTTATACAGAGGAATCTATCTGAACAAGTAGACAAAACTTTAAGGGGTGATAGAAGGCAGCTATACAAGCAATATTTATGATAGAATGTATGGTTGGAATGCTAGGCCGCTAGGTAGCATTGTAAATTATATAAAAGGGTCAGTCCTCGCAACCAACAGCATTTTCTACCATAATTGCCGAGACGATGGTTGGTTATATGAACCCAGAAATTTCAGGACAATGGATTGGTAGAGGTGGTCCCATAGCTTGGCCACCAAGGTCACTAGATCTCTCATGTTTGGACTTTTTAGTGTGGGACCATATGAAAAGCCTAATCTACGAATGTATCTCATTCTTGTGTTAATTTTTTTCTGAAATGTGAACAGAATACCGTTTGTGTTAAATGTTTTCTGAAATGAATACTCCTCATTGTGATGCTGATCATCAGTTCACAATGACAAAGTTTTTTCCATTTCATTCATCACTATTACATGTCTGTTGGAAACATTCCTTGATGATATATTCCCACAATTTTGAATATATTCCTTAATTTTTATCCCCCTCCCTCTTTTTTGTAAAGTATTGAACATATATTGTTGACTTGTTTATGTCACATGAACAACTAACTAAAGGAATGCATTAACTGCTTCCAAAATATCTAATTGTTTCCACATTTGTCTCGATCATATAAAGTTTCATGGTCCCTTATTTTTTGGGGGGTCATATCAATACTGCAGTCTCTCCATTTCTCACTCTCATGTGTATACTGCCAAAAGATTTAAACATAAACAGACAAACTGGTAGAATACATAACACATACCCTAATGCAAGACTATGCAAGACTAAATCTCTTTAATGCATCACATGTATTCAAAATTTAGCCCCCACACCATGGCTCAGAACTCTAGTTACATTACAATGATTTGAAAAAGTCCACTCGTCTAGAAGGCAAGGTGTGAGTGACAGCAATATGCCACAGTCTGACAGAGCAACTGCATGGAAGCAAACAATTTTTGTGATATTTACAAAACCCTTAAAAAACTGGATTTAAAAAAAAAAAAAAAAACTGAGCAAAATGCGGAAGCAGAATGAGCAAAAGTCGAGGGCCACCTATACACAAAATAAGTATTCATTTCTAAAGAACATAATTAGAGAATAAGTTGATTTGGTGGGGTTTCTTCCCCTCCCCTATTCTGTTTCAGTTAAACCAGATTTTACTGTTTTCCTCTGCACAAGTGGAATATTCTTAAAATATTTACTAGAAAAATTAAACTATTAAA